TTTTAACTTGTTTAGCGTGGGATGATTTATTTGAGTTGGAGGTGACCTCCTCTTGTCTCGCTGTCCTAGAGTTGGGCGATATTTGACAGTAATGAAGAGTGATAGATTGCTCTTGCTCAGCTAAGCAGCTGATGCATTAATTATAAATTGTGGTATGGCTAATATCAAAGTTTGCTCAGGAGATATGGGCAGGTTGGGGAGATGAAGGCGAATCAGTTCCTGGAACTCATGGAGGGGGGGGAAGAGGGTCCAAGAAGAACGGGGCACCCACAGGAGTGCAACACAATGGATTTACTGCATTCAAGGGCGGCCATTTTGTTGCAGTTGTGGGGTGTTTTTTTTTTAAATGCTTTACAACAGAAAGCGAGAGAAGGAGAGAGATTTATTTTTTTCTACCATGAATCCCCACAGCCTTTCTCTCCAGGCTTGGATGTTCAAAATCTCTCAGAAACAAGAGGCATCCACGACCGTTCTTGCCTTGCCCGCTCTTCTCCTTCCTCTCTTTCTCTTTCTCGATCTCTCTCAGTCGGGTAGCTCTGCTAATGGTTGTTCTTGTCCCTTCCTTCACACAGAATCTCTGGAGATCTCTGAAAACGGCAATGGGGGATCCAGGAGGCTGAGGACGGCTTACACCAACACGCAGCTTTTGGAGCTGGAGAAGGAATTTCATTTCAACAAGTACCTCTGCAGACCCAGGAGGGTGGAGATCGCCGCTCTCTTGGACCTGACCGAGAGGCAAGTCAAAGTCTGGTTTCAAAACCGGCGGATGAAGCACAAGAGGCAAACCCAATGCAAAGAGAACCAGAACAGTGAAGGGAAACTGAAAGGGTTAGAGGATCCCGAGAAAGCTGAAGACGAGGACGAGGAGGAGGAGGAAGAGGAGGAAGAGGAAAAATCCCTCTTCGAGCAAGCTCTCCACAATGTCTCAGGCGCGCTTTTGGAGAGAGAGAGCTACACTTTCCAGCAGAATGCCCTGGCGCAACAGCAGGCGCCCAACGCCCACAATGGAGAGTCCCAAAGTTTTCCAGTTTCGCCTTTAACCAGCAATGAGAAAAATCTGAAACATTTTCAGCATCAGTCCCCCACTGTTCCAAACTGCCTGTCAACAATGGCCCAGAACTGTGCAGCTGGCCTGAACAATGACAGTCCGGAGGCCCTGGATGTCCCTTCTTTGCAGGACTTCAGCGTTTTCTCTGCAGACTCCTGCCTACAGCTCTCCGATGCCGTCTCCCCCAGTTTGCCCGGGTCCCTCGACAGTCCTGTAGATATTTCAGCTGACAGCTTTGATTTTTTTACAGATACACTCACCACAATTGACTTGCAGCACCTGAATTACTGAAAAATAACAGATCTTCATTCGCCGAGGGTTACGCATTCCGTTCTTCTCCCTCTTCTCCCCTCACTTTTCTCTTCACCTTTCCCTTTTGCTGGGTTGTTTCCACCACATACATACGTCTTGATTTGTTTTTCCCCTTCTCTGATCAGTATTTTCTGCTTTATTTTCTGATGTGTGAGGAGCCATTTTTTGCCGTTTTCCCATGAAATTTTACTTGTGTTTGGTTTAACCTAGCCACATTCTAGGTCCTTCTATGAAAGCAATATATAAGGCCTGTAAGAAAGTGATCATATTGAATTGTATCTTCACTTTCTTTTTATTTTTGTATGACATTAGGATGCGTTGTCATAAGTATTTTTGGTAGAATAAATTCTTGTTTGCTATAAGCACTTTCTCTCTCTTTCTCCCCCTCTTAATTCATAACACAAGGAGGTATTGCCCCTCCCTTAGTTTGCAATAAAGCCAAACAATTTGGTCACAGTCCTCTGTTCTTTTTCATTGAAAATATATTTATTAGAGAGAAACTGGCTTTCAATTATTTATTTCCAAAGTTTTTAATGTTAAAAAGAAAAAAAAAGGAAATAGCTGGAATGTCTCCAAATTCTACAGAAGTAATTTTCCCGTTAAATATAGCTAACAAGTTAGACTCAACAGAGTATGAACAAGTTAAGAAATGTTTATGGTTATCTATACGTTCATCTATATATTTGTACATTTTAATTAAATTGCATGCATCAGCCGAATAGACCACATTCCAAGAAGAAATAGAGTCTACTAGAGTAAGGACTGATATATAAGTCGTTGGAAACTGCGAACTTATTTTCTTAATCAAGCCCTGAGCTATTCCATTTGTGAACCACAGTCTCTGAAGGGGTTGGTGTAGCCGGGGAACCAACACTGTAATGCCAACTGAGATACTCTTTTCATGGATTTCCCAGCTGTCCAAAGGTCCCAAGAAAAGAAACCTAAAAGAGAGAAAGGAAATCAGAAATGTTTTTAAAATCCATGCTTATCTGTACAAAGTGCACGTTTTGTGTACCATGTATCCATGCAAAATTCTTGTCTTAAATTCTAAAGTTTCTACTGGGTTTAAAGAACAAAAGTTACTAACTGAGGAGGGAAAAGGCATCTTAACGAAGGTTGAAAAGAAACTGGTTTAACAAGTACATTTCAGAAGACCACCAAGCGATGCCACTGAAGCAACAGTCCAAAGACCCATCCAAAAGTGCTGTGGATAGGTGGTAGGTGTACATATTTCTAATCCCAGTTACATTCGGATGATTGGCATAGACCAGAACGTGTGTTTCTTGATGCCTTGCAAGGACAGTAAATGATAGCAGATGTGTGTGTGTGCGTGTGCGTGTGTGTGTGTGTGTGTGTGTGCATGCATGCGGGGGGGGGGCTGTGCCCCCCCTCTGTATGTGTGTGTGTGTGCAGATAAAGACAGTCCTGCTCCTAGCTCTCTACAGGCACCATTTCCCTAGCCCCTCTCAGCTGAACTTGTTTATTTTGGTGGTAGCTGGCTTCCCTGTTTTGCAACCCATGTAAGAGGGTTGGCGCTGAGCTAGTAGGCAATAGCTGGAAGGACTGGATGCAATTCTTCCTAAACACATAAATCAAATGCTTTCTGTGAATGAGAATGTCATCAAAGAGATCAATTGCAGGAACACATGCACAAATAAAAATCTCCTTACGTATTTGTTCAGGCTGGGGATCCCCGTCTAAAACCATTAAGCTAGGAGGCAGTTAGTCATAATTCATTTTTATTGCTCTATTAAAACAACAGCTTGGCTAAGCTTCAGGTGCGGCAGGGAATCCCGGCCCTTTCCTTCTCTCTCCCTCCCTCCTTCTCTCAGTCTCGCTTTCTTCTCTCCCCCCACTTCACGCCTTTGTTTTGCTTTTCTTTGCCTTATAAAAAGCACACTTTTTCTAGCATGGAATTCCATTCAGAACATGCTGTTTGGGGGAGAAATTTACTTTATAGGCTAAACAACATGGGGGGAAACACCTCTTCAAATAGCACAGTATTTTGACACAACAGACTGCCGCCCACATCTTACTCAGATTTCTCCTTGATGTTGTAATGATGTCTAGATACATTGATTATAACCTTTTCCCATTTTAAAAATGCTTCTAAATATATATGGGATTCAAAGGTATGGGTAATTACAGCACAGAGAAAGACTATGAAATTTCCAGCTACCAGTAAAAGGAACGCATGGCTTGGCCACATTTAGAACGATGGGATGAATACATACAACAAAAGCGGATATGGGGTGAGGGGTGGGGGGTGGGGAAGAAGGAGGAGCAGGCCTCTGCTGGAAAGGGCCATGGAGCTGAGAGCTTCCGTGGATGTCTTTGTGGCTTAGCAAAGCTGAGAGTTGGAGGAAAACTTTCGTTGCTCTGCCACAATCCCCAGCACCTCTCCATTAACCCCCCTTCCTGCATTGTGGTAAGTGGAGCGATTGTGTTGTCCTCAGAGTGCAAAGCCCCGGCCACAGTCAGTATACAACAAAAGAAAAGGCCTTCTTGGGAACAATGGCAGAAAAATGGAGGAAAACAGTTAAAGGAGTTGGCAACAGCAGGCAAGGGATAGAAAGAATGTTTATAAGGAAAGCATTCTCTGAATAGCTAGCCAGCTAGCTAACCAGACAGACCAACAGATAGACAGGCACCAAGGATACAGCCCCAAATGAAAGGATTGCCTTTTGTGTTTGAGAAACAAACCAAGGCCTGCTTTAGGCCTTGTTCTATTTACAGAACAACTGAGGGCATATATACAGCCCACTTACATGCAACAAACATTTTTACACCAAACCCTCCTGTATAAATATTAACTCCATATCCACATTTTGTTGGCTTGTTTGTTTCAGCATGTAATGTCACCTCATTCTAAATCCATGAAGCAAACTAGTAAATCCACTGAAGATCAGCTAATGAACTTCCAAGTACTCCTGATCAGTCTCTACAAATACCTGTTTTATAGTCACTAAAAACTATGAGGCCATAGATAAATTGCTGTTTCTTTCTTCAGTAAACTTAAGGATGCCTTTCTCTTGCTCTAAGATAGAAAAACTTGTGACTTGCATGCAGGAATCTTAAAACGAATTATTTTTAAAACCCCACTGGCTACGAACTGGAATTGTGCTCCACCTAATTTACACTGATGATGCTTCCTCCGTAGAAAAGCCTTTAATTGCATTTCCAAGGAGACCACAACATTGGTTTTGCCCCGTCTTGTGTTTCACTATTTGGATTCTCCCCGCCCCCCCAATGGTGAAACAATATACAGTATGTGAAATACGTGATCACCTTAGGCAACAGTGGAGTACAAGACCCTCCTTTTGCATACGTGTGTGTGCTCAAGTGCACGTGCACACACTAACGTTCATGCTACCAGACAAAGTGATATGACAGAAAAATGGCACCCCTTTATATAATAATGCTGACTTGTTAAGCACTCTGTTAATTTCAACTTTGTTGTAAGAAAACACCCTACGGTGCAAGATGAACCTTGGCTATTGCGATTTCTGGCATCCTGGAGGCAAAATTCACAAACACAATCCTTTCTTCTTGTTCTCCCCTGTAGTTAGCCTCTCCTGCCTGCCTGCTCCTCTTTCTGGGCAGATTTAACCCGCGTCTGGTCAAATGACAAGTTTCCTCCGAGCTTTTCTGCAAGGAGCCCAGCTGTCTTTTGGGCCAGTCCTAAACCCATCGAAAGGGAAGGCTCTCTCTCTCCTTTCGTCACAGGGGTACAGTCTTCGACGCGACAAGAAAGCATTCGGAATAATGGCAAGGGTGACTTGTACAGCCCGGCCTTCGGGTCCTCGCGCTTCATCCGAGGGGCTGACCATCTTAGCGACCAAGAGGGGAACTCGCTTAGGGCCGTGCCCCCCCCTTTCCTCAGTCTCCTCCCCCAAAGCTCCGGGGCAGGCCATCGAGAGTTAAGAAACACCCACCTTCTTCCATTCCCGTGTCTAAGCTTTACAACAAGAGTGGGAGGGAGGGCAGTGTAAGGAAGTGGAGGTACGCAAACGTGGTGCATGAGAGGCGCTCGAGGGAGGGATGCAGGGAGGGAGGCAGGGAGGGAGAAATACGCCGGAGGGAGGGAGAGCAAACGAGGGGGAGGAGAACAACCGAGCGTTTGCACAAGCGCGCTGAGGTCTGCAGAAGGGCTAGGCGAGAATCTGAGACAGCTTCCTTGGCAACCTTTGTCAGCGCTTCCTGCCCGATCCGCACCTCGGAGCCAGCCTCTGATCACCCGGGAAGCCCAGTTCCCAGGCTCCGGGGCGGCCCTTCCCCTCTGCTTCAACGCCCCCCCCTCTTCCCCGCTGCCTCTCTCCTCTCGCCATTCCGCTGCATTAAACCAGCCCCTCCGCCTGCCCTCCTGCCCCGTCCTCTCTGAAGCGGCAGCAGGAGCGCCAACAATGGCGCTGCCTTGCCGAACACCTCATTTCCATGTAAATCACCGCGGGGAGGCCGGGCCAAGCGCCCTTTTAACTCTTGCCACTTCGCCCCGCCGCCGGCTCTCCGGAGCGCCTCCACCACGGGCAGGGCTCAGCCCCCGCCAGCCCCTTGCCCAAAATTCTTCTCGCGCTCGCTCCGCTTTCTCGCTGCCGCCGTCCCCCCCCGCCGCGCGCACGACACCTCCGCCCCTCGGATCTCCCTCCTCCTCCTCCTCCTCCTCCTCCCGCCTCCCAGGTATCTGACCCGGGCTGGCTAGTCTAAAAGACTCGGGGAAATCAGACCCTTGCAAGGGAACAGAAGACCCTCGGGCTTTTCCTGGCTGGGGCTGGGCTCCCCGCCCCAGAGAAAAGCAGCCCCTCCGAGGCGCCATCCGGGTGGGGAGACGGCGAGCTGCCTTTCCTTACCTGCTGAAGCCGGGTTCTTTCTCCAGAAAATCCACGCAGAAGCAGCCCCCTCCGGCGGCAGCTCCGTGCCTCTTCTTCTTGCTGCTGCTGCTGCTGCTGCTGCTCCCGCTTCTGCCGCTGCTTGCTGGAGGCTGAGCGCCTGGGCGTACACTGCCTCTCTGGCCCGGCTCTCAAACCCCAGCGCACTGACTGGG